GACTAATGCATCGAACCGAACCGTGATTTTTCTGTATCGTTGCACCCCTAGTTTAAAACTTTTCCAGTTTCTAACATATTTTTTCGGTTTCAAAATTATTGCTCAGCTTTAAAATTATTTTTCAGTTTCACTTTTTTCCACCGTTTCAAAAACTTTTTATTTTGAGGAAAACTTACGGCCCCAGTTTATCTCCATAAAGCTTACAGCTGTTTTTTGTTTTATTCAGTCGTGCAGGCAGAGGACCACTAAGTGCAGCAAGATAAGAGGACATTTTGAGCCACACTGAATTTAACTTTCAAAATCAAAACGACTTTTTTTTTTAATTCTTGCATAAACTCCTCTGTTTCTTATTTTATTCATATCAATTTAAACATTTTAAACTTGTGGATTTAACTTCTAACTGTTGGATAAATCCACATTTCCTGTTACATTGTGGTGATGTTGGYAGAAAACGACAAGTTTAACATTTGAAAACCATTTTAAACCGTTGCCCTTTTCTGTTTTCATGCAGGAAYCTGGAAATGTTCTGGGAAACTGTTTGTTTGTTGCTTTGCTCAGTGCTGACTCGACACTTTTGTTCCTCAGATAATGAGCTGGAGGGAACCTGACGAACCGGTTCTGACCAGTTCAAATAACCACCGATGTTTTGTCCCGAAGCAAATCAACAAGCAGAGGAGGCACAACACGAGGTTCTTTATTGGTTAGAAGAAAAATAAAAGAGTCAAAGTGTTTTTTTTACAGAGTTTCTGTTGAAATTTCTCAGAACAATAGATTTGACAAGTAAAACAAGTTTGTCGTAAATTAAACTTAAATCTTGTTTGTTTCAGACAGAAAACATCCTCAAAGTGCAAATTTCCTTCATTAGTTTTTGTTTGGGTCTTTTCAGATCCGTCCAGTCCGTCCCTGTCTCTGACCCGGGACAGAAGCACCAGGTAAAGACCGAGTCTCTTTACGACATCTGAGTCAAACTGCTCCAAAAGTAAAACCTTGGTCAATATTTACTGGATTTATTCAAATATTCATACAGAGGAATGAGTTTTTGAAATAAACAAAGGTCAATAAAACATTTAAAAAGAGGATTTTTGTTTTTTGTGGCCAGATAAACTAGTAAAAATGACCACACCTGGCCCGGGAGCCTTCAGTTTGAAGAAAAGCACTCAGATGTAAGTTTTCGTCGATGTATCAGAGGAGAGGTACGAATCTTTGCCTTTCCCTTCAGACTTGTTTAAGAGGTGCCTCTCTGAGGGGCTGTTCTGCTCCTTGGKGGGGCAGCCGGAGCACAGGAGTCCTCCTCCTACAACGAGCAGCGCCGCGGCGCCGCCGCCAATGTAAATACAGGATCCCATCTCTCGTTTCTGAGCGTCCATGACCAGAGGGCTGTAGAAGTCCTGGACGATGATGGAGGCGGTCCAGCACACAGGAACCAGGCACAGGAGCCCGCTGATGACCAGAATCACGCCCGCCCCCACCGAGGCCCTCGCCTTGGCGCCCTCCTCCGGGATGAAGTTGGTGCACTTCCCTCCGACGAAAGCCACGAGGAGCCCGACGAGGCCGGCGATGATGGAGACCACCATCAGAGCCCGGGCCCCCTGCAGGTCCGTGCTCAGGGCCAGCAGGGAGTCGTAGACCTTGCACTGCATCTGACCCGTGCTCTGCACCACGCAGCTCATCCAGATGCCCTCCCACATGACCTGCGACGTCACGAGGTTGGTCCCGATGAAGGCCGAGACCCTCCACATGGGCGCGGCGCAGGCGACCAGCACCCCCACCCAGCCGAGGAGCGCCAAGGAGCAGCCGGCCATCTGCGTCCCCATGGAAGCCATCTCTGTGAAGCTCTGAACGCCGCTGCCTGAGGGACACAGGTGAGCAGGTGTTTGTGTGTGTGTGTGTGTGTGTGTGTGTGTGTGTGTGTGTGTGTGTGTGTGTGTGTGTGTGTGT